TGACATATCGCACACGGCACACTGGTACGATTTTTCTGCACTAATACACCCTCTGGTTCGCTCTCAGATAACTAAGGCTTGTTAACGATTTATCACACATTTCACTCAGGTACGTTTTTTCTTCTTCATGGCTTCACACGTCTTTTTTTAGCTACTGATTTTTGAGCTCATTAGATTGATATTAATTGTCACATTTGCTTTGTTAAATTTCCATAAATAATACACTTGTCAAAGTATGACAATGCCTAAATTTATTAATTTTTATTATACTGAATATCATATTATTAACAACGATTGTTAATAATATTTATTTATTTTTTTTTATTTTTTTGTATAAAGCCAGTATATTTATTGTTGTAACGATTAAAATATGTATACATTCAAAACATAGTTAATAATTGAGTTTATTATTAAGGCTAATATAAAATAATAGAGACTTACTATAAGGTGCTTTGACTCTTCCTGGATACCTTATTTTTAACTGATCGTTCCCCAGACCACGTTACAACTGCCTGCTATTTTGTGTATAATGGTGCTGAGTAGTCACAGAATGACGCCAAATCTTGATAATATGATTCTAAATTATTTTCACATATTATATTTTTTTCCTTATCAAAATTAAATCTATATCTACCTCCAAATTTTATAAACATAAATATAAATTATAAATGTGTTTTAATATTAATAGACATGTATAATATTTAGTCAATTTTTATTCCGTACCTACTAAAGGTTTTTATAAGATATTATGGAATATCGATTTGGCTTCCTTAAATTTTAAGTGCCATTTCGTGTACCAAATACTTCCCTGATTATTGTAAAGTAGTTGGTATTAATGATAAAGAAGAAAGATATATATAAAGATATATCATAATCAGCTGGGTACACATTTGCACATACTATTGTTAGCATAATATATAAGTTACACATCATGTTATGGTCGTTAGTTCTGTGACAACAGCAGTCCACACACTAAAGGAACTCTAAATAACCATACTATTTCCGTAGTAAATCTAACCAGCTCAAGTATAAAACAAGTTTCTGAGTTTCAAGAACATTTTACATTGAAGGGCTGCTTGAAGTTGCCCCTGCTATGCAAACGTCTCAGATACCTGTTTTAATTTTCAATTGCAAATTTTAAAAATAGCCCTGAAAATGCTTGCAAATTATAATTACTAACTCAGTGTATTATTTAAAAATCTTTGAATTAAGTTGAAGAGCAATGTGAATATTTTTCTTTCACAAATTACTTTTTTGTTATATTTGAAGTGAGAACAAATACAATAGCATAGATCGGCCACGGTGATGTTTTGTTGGCTCGGGTGCCAACATTTGGTAATCTTCAAGTATTTTAAACGAATTCAAGTGCCACCGAATCTACATCACACTTTATTAAAAAATAAATCGATATAGGTAACTTTATATATACACTTTAAATAATTAGTCTTTTTTTAAATTTATTTTATAAATAACAATTTAAGTACAATAATTAATTAACAATAATAAAACTCGTCTTTGTCACTAAAATAATTTTCTTCTGTCCAAACTCCAAAGTATAAACATTTAAATACATTATAATAATTAATTCCACTACCTATCATAATATTTGCTTGGCAAACACCAATTATATCGCATAAATTATATACTTGAAAATTTGAAAAGTTATAGAATACGATCATATACGTTACAACGTATACCTACTTATATTGCTATGATTTTTAATAAAATGATATTCATTTTTATTATTTGTTTTATATTTTTGGAATTATATACACACATAGTGGGGGAAAAAAATACTAAAAAAAGTTCACCGTGATGCACCACGTCAGCACTATATATTACTATTTATTATAATATATCAAGAAGACGAATTCTTAAAATATTTCGTAAACTTTCTTCCACATTTATTTTGTAAAAATTATTTCAAATTGTTTCTGTGATGTAATGAAAATTTCACACGTATTTGTTTTTTTTTACTCTGACCCACACGCAACATAACAAACTTTCATTCAGACAGTGGCAAATAGGCCCACCAGGATCCGGGAAAACACCGGTAGGCTCTTCTATCGGTAGGTCTTTTAGATTCTGAGCGGAATATATTGATTTTATAATGATGTGTATCTGTGTACACGGTAAGTAGTCGAAATAATGCTTCAATTTTCAACTTACGTATCTTGTTCGATGGGACAGTGAAACTATTATAATATTATATTAGCATTTTCTATACACTATAACAATTTCAAAATATTTCGACTTTTTTTCTCCTGTTTACGGACATTTTAAGTTTTCAATTTTTTTAGTTGTTTTTTTTCTATAAAATATTTATTTATTTATTTATTTACGGAGAAAAAAAACTCCATTTACAAAAAGTATGTACAAATAAAAGTTATATAACAGTTACAACATAATTTCATAGAGAAAATAAAGCTTTTACAGTATGTGATAATTAATTTGTACATAATAAAAAGTAAAATTAATAATAATAATAAATAATATAATAATAATAACAATAATCCCGTAGTACAAAGATTGGTAATATTATGAAAATTTAAATTAAACCTTATATCTGTTTAATATCATTACTACTACAGTAAAATAAATCTAAATTTGCAAAATTACCTAATGACATTAACAAATTTGCTGGTGAATTTAGAGAATAATTTGTTTTTGTATTTCGTAAGAAAAATTAATTATTATTTCTCGTGTTTTTTAGGTTGGTATTAAAATTTAGATTCTCTAATAAAAATCTGCAATCAATTTCATAATTAAGTAGTTTGAATAAAAAATTTAAATTCAAATAGTTTCTACGGTTTTTTAGGGGAATCATATCAAAAAATCCTAAAACTCCATCATAACCAGTTTGAGGTTGTCTTTCTATTCTACATTTGAAAGAAAGGAATCGTAAGAAAGAGTTTTGAATAGATTCGAGATTTTGAGTAAGTAGTATAGAATTGGGAGACCAGATGAGGGGAGCGTACTCTAATTGGGATCGAACAAAAGAGAAATTAATATTTTTTAAAGCAAGTGGATTATTAAATTTTGAGCAGCAGCGTTTAAGGAAACCTAGTTTTGAAGATGCTTTGTTTTTTATTTTGTGAATATGGTCGTTAAATTTTAATTTGGTATCAAAGAAGATACCTAAATCATTGACTAATGAAACACGTTGCGTGTGGGGCAATTATTTAAATTATAGTTAAAGAATAAATTTACATTTTTATGTGAAAAGGTAATTACAGAACATTTATTTAAATTGAGTTCCATGCCATTATCTAAACACCAATTACAAAAGTTATCCAAGTAGGATTGTAATTCTAAATTATCATTCATAGATTTAATAGTTTTATAAATATTAGCGTCGTCAGCAAGAAGCAATATTTTGGAGTGATTTAAAATTGAAGAAACATCATTAATGAATAATAAAAATAATAAAGGAGAAATATGATCTCCCTCAGGTACCCCAGAGGAAGCATGAATTGGTGTTGATAGGAAATTATTATATTTGACGATTTGTTGTCTTTCAGATAGAAAAGATGCGAACCATGATAGGAGAGGATCATTAATGCCATAAAATGTTTTTAATTTTAGAATTAATAAATTATGGTCAATTCGGTCAAATGCCTTATTGAAATCTGTATAGATGACATCTGTTTGTGCTTTAGAGGAAAAAGAATCTATAATATCTTGTTTGAATATAGCTAAGTTTGTGACTGTTGATCGCTTAGGGCGAAAACCATGTTGTTCGTCGATAAGGGTAGTATTAAATATAGGAAATAAATTCGAGTTAATAATTTTTGTAAATAATTTAGGAATAATAGATATTTTTGAAATTGGCCGGTAATTCTTAACAGATGATCTGTCACCTTTCTTAAATATAGGAGAAATAAAGACAGATTTCCAGGATGTAGGAAAAACTCCAGTGATTAATGATTGATTAAATAAAATATGAAGTGGATATGATAATATAAAACGACATTCAAAAAGAAATTTTGAGGATAGATTGTCTGGGCCTGAGCATAAATTTAAATTTATATTATTAAGTTCATTAAATACATCCATAAGAGAGATTTGAAGATTGCAAATAGAATTTAATATTTTAATGTATTAATAGGATTTGGTTTTAAAGATGAATTAGGTAAAGGTTGGGTATATACACTTTTTCAAAAATATTTACAATTGGTTGTTCACCTTCAGCCTCTTCATTATTATATACCATTAGGTGTGGAAGGTTATGATTAGGTTTTTAATCATTTATAAACTTCCAGAAAAATTTAGGATTGAGTTTTATTGAATTTTGAACATTAGATAAATAATTTGTGTAATCATTTTTCCTCGTAACTTTGCATTGACTTCTTAAGTTTGAGAATTTTCTAAATTCAATCGATGAATTAGTGTATTTGAAGTCTAGGTGGGCTTTTTTTTTTAATTTAATTAAACATTTAAGTTTGTTACTAAACCAAATAGGATATGATGAGCTATGTTTTTTATACGTAGGGACATATTTATAGACAATAGAGGTAATAATAGAATAAAAAGTAGAAATATTATAATTTATGTCATTAGTATTATGAAGTAAGTTAAGCCAGTTTGTTGAGCCCAAATGTGAGTTAATCATTCGGTAATTTGCCTTAGACCAATTGTATATAATTTCATTAGTATAAATAGAATCAACATTATAATTGAGTGTTTCACAGTTTATTTCTAGTGGGGGATGATAAGAATCAACATCAACAATAGGGATTTCACTTAAAATACCTTGATAGAATTAATTTTTGATATTACATAATCTAAAATATTATTTTTTGAATTAACAATGTTATTAAATTGGGTCATATTAATTAATGAGATATAATCAAAAAAAAAATATTTTGTATGAGATGAGATAGCTGATGGAATATTAAAGTCACCTAGCAAAATTAAGTCTGATGATGGATAATCATAACTTATATTATTAACAATATTAAAGTATTCTTCAAATATTTCTATAGTAAATGGAGTATAAATTAGTTTTTTGAATTGTTAATAATAACTGGGTTGCCTTTAATATATTTAATAATAATATTGTTTTCGCCGTTACTCCGACGAGTTTCCAGCTCTTGACGTAATGTAGACATTTGTTCGCGTTGTTTCAAAGTGCGATCCGAAGAGAAGCGTAATTCTTTAAATTCATCTGAAGAACGGATATTAGATTGAGCACGTAAAACGTTAAATACATTTTCTGTATCATTGAGAGTGATTTTTAACGGGTGAGCTCGAGTTGAAGGGTTGCCTGGACGAAAAAATCTGATAGGTTCAATATTTAGTTCCATCTCATTAGTCATTGAAGATTAATTTTAATCGTTCGCTATCAGGTTTGATTTTGGAAGGGTCTGTTGCTTCAGGAAGATTGAATAAAATTATATTATTGGTTCTAGACTGTCTGTCAGCAATTTCATTAATTATAATATCAAGATGTGTTGTTTTCAAGGTTGATAAAGCATTTTGCTCGAGATTTTTGATTTTTAGTTCAAGTTGAGAAACTTTTCCATTTAATGAAGCATTGTCATCCGATAAATTTTTTATTTGTTAAGAGAGATTATCAAAACGAATACCAACATTTTTTATCGTTTTATTTTGTTCATTTGAAGGATTGATATCAATAAGGATTTATATATCAATAAAGTTGTATTGGTTGGGTTAAAATGCTTGACAATGTAATAAAAGGCTCCTAATATATTTTTCCAATGGCAATTGAAAAATATGAAAATAACAAACAGCATTTTTTTTTATAACCATTTAAATTTCGAATTTGGATAAATTTTATTAAATTTTAAATTTTAAAATTATTTTGCTGTTAAAAATGTATTAGATGTCCAACTTGTAAAGCTAAGCATTGGCGTTTAAAAAAAAAAGTTCCTTTTAAGTAGGTTATTCCGTAACCAAAAAATCTAAAAAACATATATATATACAGTTTTTTTATAGGTACTTTTTTATATTCAAATTTGTACGAAATTAGATATTTAAAGTTTTTAAAAGAAGAAGAACGACTTTATATTTTATATTTAAAATATATTTTTCGTGGGTACCTACTTGAAACGTCTTAAGAATACTATTATATACAAATATAATAATAAATAAATAATAATAATAATAATAATAATAATAATAATTCAACTTAACTTAAATTACTTAAATTTAATTAAATTACTTAAATTTAACTTAACTTAACCGTATTAATAATAACAATATTAGGTAGTATAATATTAAATATCTTATGCTGACAAACCGTCTCCGCTCAGAATCGTTTTTCTTATATTATAATGATATTATATCATTGAATTCAATTTTAATACCATTCATTACAGTCACAAACTTGAAGCTTACTGTACTGCAGAGCGACATCCTCACACTATTTTTTTATCATTATTATTAGTGATAGGTGAACCTTTATTTTTAAATCGATCCGAACTCCAACCGATATTATAATGTAGATACGCGGTCTCTAATAATCTAATTATTTCTAAATAGTAAATAGTAAATAGTAATTATACATTTTTTTAAATAACTTTTGAAGAACCTTACAAATACATATTAATTGGTCTTTGGACTATCGGGGCCCGAATATCTAAATATTTAAAGTTTAATTTTCAAACAGTAAAGATGCTTGATAGTTTGGTTCGAATTTTTTTAATATAAAGTTCGAATTTTGAACCGAACCGAACCGAACCGAACCGGTTCAGTTCAGTTTTAGATTCGAACAGTTCAACTTATCACTAATTATTATTTACAAACTATTACAGTGTTCGCTATTCAAAACATTTAAATATACATACCTAGGGCAAAATCAAACAATGTTGTATGATGTTAATGAGAGGAGGGTGCAGGGTGAAATCTCGAATGAGTTGGTCTTCTGTAATCGGACTAACCGGTAGTAATTTTTTTCGTTTGGGCCCTTTTAATAAATTTCCAGGTAATAATAATTTAGGCTATCCAGTATCCACCCATGCGTTCAGAAGATCCAATTGGCAATTATGTGTTGTTAACTATTGAATAATTCAATAATCAATTATTGATCTATTATCAAATTTCCAGTGAAGAATATTAACTATTTTATTGGTTTTTAATCGTATAACATGTTATGGGCTCTTCAAATTAAAATATCAATAGAAGCATAAGATTTTTAAGATTCATAAGATTCCCTAGCTGATATTATTAACTTTAAGCAGGGCTAGCATTTGAAAAAAATTCCATTTTATATTATTTACAATTAAAACGTTAAACAATTTTTGCGTTTAGATATCAAAACGTTATAAAAGTTTATCGTTATTTAAAATAGTGTTAATACCCATTAAATTTAAAAATAATAACTAAAGCGGTTTGTTAATGGCCCGGATACGGAATATAATATAATCAATTCTTATATAATTGTTTGCATGAAATAAATATTTCTAAGAACCCAATAAACCTTTTAAATAAATAGATTTTAAAGTATTTTGTTTTGCGTTATTTTTCTTTGAATGATATTCAATAAATTACGTTTTGCGTTATTATTCGTTAATGATATTCTATAAATTACGTTTTGCGTTATGTTTCGTTTAATGATACCTATATAATATATTAATGTATTTTAATTGTAATGTTTTGTTTTGCGGTATTTAATTATTTTTGATTATCGTTTACCGTTATAATAAATTACGTTTACAAATTTCAATAGTTTTTGTCAAATCTAACATTATTATAACGTTTGCAAGCTCTAACTTTAAGTATTGACAATATAGGTCAATTTACTCTTTCATTAAAATTAACAACACATAATTGGATCTGAAAAACGTAAAGCGGCTATGTTGCGCTTGGGCCAGAGAGAGAGAAAACAAAAATGATGCGCTGACTTACGCTCTTAATGTTTATCGTACATACTCAAGTCCGGATTAAGAACCTACTTTGCCCCGGGGCTAAAATTTCATATGGGCCCTTTTGACAAGACATTCTTAAAACTCCGCTTGCTACACCCACATGAAGATACATTTTTCTAACTATTTCACAAATTGACAATTGCATTATAAAATTATAAAATGAATAGGTATAGGTATATGTAATTTATGTCTATAAAACTACTAATTGTAGTATAATGAAAGTTAATACTTCATATTTCATTAATTTAAATTCAAATATTTATAATAACTTTTAAATTTATTATCAGTATACCTACTTATTTACAACAAATATTAAATAACAGCAAAATGCGTATTTTCTACCATTGTGTTTTTGTAGGTATTTACTATTTAGTTGTTTTTGTCGATTAAAAAAAAATAGTTTTTAAAATATAGAAAAACTATTATGTGTAATGTGTATCAGCTTAAAACTGTTTGGGCCTATTTCATTTTGGTACTTGAGAGGGCCCCGGGGCTACCACCTCTGCTAGACCCCCCATAATCCGGCTTTGTACATACTTATGTAAAAAAATTACCTATCAGTTTTATTTCATTAAACTTTAATGATACGGCTTCTCTACAAGTCTGGAACATACCTCTACAATAAAGTATAAACTATAATATAAACTAAGGTAGTACACTAGTGCCTATATAACTATACTATAGTGTAACATAACTATAAACTACTATAATATTATGAAGTAACATCATACAAATTTTTTAAAAGTCATCATTTATTTTATTACAAATTAAAAAGAATAATTTCATCTCCTGAAAAATAATAAATCTGAAATAGGTACCTACAATCTACATTGAACGATTGATACTTATTTTATGTAGTTTCAATTGTGAAACTGTGGAAGAGACCATTTACAATACAGTGAAACATAATTTCAGTGAATAATTATAGAGATTTTTTTAATATTTTTCAAGGATGTATCATTAAAACATTTTAAACATTTTATTTATGACATTTTTAAAAGCGTATTTTTGGAATTTAAAATCCATTCTAAAAAACAACTAATTCCACAAAAAGAATAATCATATGATCTAATAATTGAACAAGGTATAATATATATTAATATATAATGGGTTTTTAAGTGGACCGAGGATGCTTTGCTCTTACACGGAGATGTTGATTTCTCGCATTTTGACATTTTTACCTGTTCCACGTATCCCAAATCAACAAAACTCACTCCATCGCTCTAAATAAACACAACGTTTGGGCTTTGACCTTTTGGCACTAAAAAATAAAAAGTATTATAAATACGAAGTATACAGGGTGTAACAGATAGAACTGACTTTTGGAATAACTTTTGTTATGATCATTATTTTTAATTTTTTTTTTTTATATATAATTTATAGCCACTTGTTCTACACATGTAAGAGGAAAAAAATTATTTTTATTTTTTTATACTAAAAATAAAAAATTTTAAATTTGACTTAAATTTTTTGAATAAATTCAAAATAGCAAACTTGTGAATCTGATTTTAAGAACGATTTGGATGGTAAAAACATTTATCTAAGTCTAGTAGTTTATTTTTTAGAATTTTTTTAAATATCAATATTTTTTTGATAAAATAAATTTGGAACGCAATAGCTTTTTTAAAAATATTATTTTTGGAAATTTTATAACATGGGTATATTCTTAAAACTATTTATTAATCATATAATTTCAACAATTTCTGTCATACATTTAAGTAGCATCAATTTTTTTTTTTTTTTGGTCAGTTCTTTCTGTTACACACGGTATACATATAAAGATAATATATAGTGACATATAACAGGTGTCTAATTTTAAGAAGTGAATAAACAAGACGTTTCTTTTCAGTGTATAATGGCCAAAACATCAGTATTATACATTCTATAATCTATATCAATATAATAATTTTAATACAACTGTTTCATTATTATTATGAAGGTATATAGCACCTTTGAACACACTATTAGACATACTTCACAAAATCTCATAAATATATTTTATCATAATTATGAAATAAATCAGCACCTGGTTAGCTAGGTAGTTCATATGGCATTGAAGTTTCATTTACTAATTAAACAACAACATAACAGTTTTAGTATTAAATATAAGCATTCAGAATTATTTCAGATATTATAAAATAAGCAGGGTTTGAAACCGTTTTCAAAACCGATTTCAGAAACCGGTATAAACCGTTTAAAAAGCGAAACCGAAAAATATTGGAAACCGGTATTAAATCCAAAACCAGAACGGAAAAAATTGGGAACGGGTGTACAACAACGAAACCAAAACTGACATTTTTTCTATAGGTTTCAAGCCCTGAAAATAATGCATAGTTACACCAAATAGTTTGTTTTTTTAAAAACGAGTTAAAGTTTGATTTTGACAAAGACATGACTCCTTCTGACCACTGCGCAACGAAGAAGATCAC